AGTTTTCTGGGTAAGTTTTTATCTTTTCTTGAGACTGTCATCAGTCAAAGATAGGTTGGACTTATCTAGAAGGAGCAGTTGAGCTTTCCCTTATTTTCTTAGAGGCGATCAGAGTTCTTTGGTTTTTTTCTAGGGTTTGTTCTTAACCCTACGACCAGACTTGATTGTGGACCTATTTGGAAGGTGCGACTGAGAATTGTTTTTGTTCTCACAAAGATTTCTCCAAGTTTTCCTTAACCCTACGATCAAACCTGATCTTTATCACCTTTTGGGTAATTCCTAAATTTGTTTCAGCATTCCAGATTTGGGGGTGAGAACCTTTATCAAGAATTGGACTGCTTACAGTCAGAACTGTCGATTGGTTTCAGATCAGATCTGAACTGAGTTCATACAGAATTCTGTTTTCCCCTTGTTTGTGGAAGACCTAGGCTGGCTGTTTTCAAAGTGAGTTCTAGACTTGTTTCAGCTTCAAAACCTGTTTTTGGGGGTGAGAACCTCTTACAGTCAGAACTGTCAATTGGTTTCAGATCAGATCTGAACTGAGTTCATACAGAATTCTGTTTTCCCCTTGTTTGTGGAAGGCCTAGGCTGGCTGTTATCAGTTGTTTAAGTGCTGTTTTCTATTACATTAGCTTTAAAAGCCTTTGATTGCTAATTCTTAGCCAAGAATGGAGTTCAAGAATCAGGGGGAAGGTGTTTTTGTGACTAGCAATTCTGGTAATATGTCTGAGACTGCATTTCAGATTACAACTGTGAGGTTTGATGGATCCAACTACTTAGAATGGGCTCTATCGGCCATGATGGCTATTGGGGGTAGAGGAAAACTTAGCTACCTATTGGGAGATGTGAAAGAACCATCCATGGAGGACCAAATGTATACCAAGTGGATTCAGGAGAACTACTTGGTTATGACATGGCCGTGCAACTCTATGCAGCCACATATCAGCCGAAACTATTTGTGGGAAAAAACAACCAAGGAGATCTGGGATGTCATGAAAGAGACCTACTCCCAACCCCTTAATGTTGCTAGGGCCTATGAATTGAAGTGTGAGGTTAATAACCTCAAGCAAGGAGAGAAACCAGTCTTCGTTTACTTCTCTACTTTGAAATCTCTGTGGCATGAAGGATGCATAGACTCATAGAAAGCAAGTTGAGACTAATAGGGTTTTTGAATTCCTAGCTGGTCTGAATTCTGATTATGATATCGTGAGACAACAAATACTAACAAGGGATAGTGTGACCTTATCTCAAGCCTACTCATTGGTGCATAGTGAAGAGACTAGGAAAAAGGTTATGATGCAACATTGGCCCTTTCCACCAGCCTTGGCAGTAGTTAAGCCTAAGTCTGGGGGTGATACAGAAAGGGATATGAAGAAGGAAGATAAGCGGGATCTAGTGTGTGAACATTGCAAGAAACCTAAGCATACTAAAGACACATGTTGGAAGTTGCACCCTCATCTAGTCCTAGTAAAACTGAGGAACAAAAGGGGTAATGCTCATGTGGCTGTTAATACCGATTCTGCACCCTCATCGGGCACAAAAGGCATGCCTCTAGACACCTTAGCTACTGTTCGGGCTGTCCTAACAAAGTTGGAAAAGGAGGTTGGGAATTCAGCTCAGTCATCTCAGTCATCATCAGCTCCTTCCACATCAGCTTTTGCTCATTCAGGTACTCGGACCTCAGCTTACCATGCTTCAGCTCCAGGTAACACTGAAGATTGTTGGGTAATAGACTCAGGTGCATTTGACCATATGACTAGCTTGCCATCATTGTTCACTACCTATCACTTATCTTCTGGTAGAGATAAAGTGTCCATTGCTGATGGTTCCTTTGTTCCCATTTCTGACAAGGGAGACATCAAGTTGTCTATTACCATTTCCTTATCCTTAGTTTTGCATGTTCCTAAGCTTGATACTAACTTGCTTTCAGTTAGTAGTATTACAAAACATCAAAACTATTCAGTAACCTTCTTCCCTAACCGATGTGTTTTTTAGGACTTGGAGACAAGGAAGGTGATTGGGACTGGCCGTGAGACGAATGAGATCTATCTGCTTGGAGAGAGTTCTCATTGGAAAGATCATGAAGATAAGAATTCTTTTGTTTCTTAGTCTGTTAGTCCGGTTATGCTTTGGCATAATCGGTTAGGTCATTTATCATTTCGGTCTTTGAAAAGTCTGTTTCCTAATTTGTTTGAGTTTGTTCAAATGTCAAATTTGAGATGTNATGTCAAATTTGAGATGTGAGAGTTGTGAGCTTGCAAAGCATTGTAGAACATCTTATTCCTTGAGTAATAAAAGAAGTAGTAATTCTTTTTATGTTGTGCACACCGATGTTTGGGGCCCGTATCACATCCCTTCTATGGGGGGGTACAGATATTTCTTGTTGTTTGTTGGTGACTATACCCGTTTTTCTTAGGTTCACCTTATGCGTTCTCGAGATGAGGTTCCTGCTATGACCCAGACCTTTCATCATCGAGATGAGGTTCCTGCTCTGACCCAGACCTTTCATCAGATGATTTTAACCCAGTTCGGGGTCAAAATCAAAATCCTCAGATCTGAGAATGCGAGAGAATACTTTACCAAGCCACTGGCCTCTTATCTACTTGATCATGGGATTATTCACCATAGTACTTGTCCTTATACACCGCAGCAGAATGGGGTTGTTGAGAGGAAGAATAGGCACATWTTGGAGGTGGCTAGAAGCATTATGTTTACCTCCAATGTGCCTATCCGTTTCTGGGGCGATGCTATTCTCACAGCAGTGTATCTCATTAATTGAGTTCCTTCACGGGTTCTTGACATTAAGCCTCCGTTTACCCTTCTATACGCAGATGCAGAATTATTTACTGTTCCCCTTAAAACCTTTGGTTGCACCTGCTTTGTTCAGATTCTTGGACCTCATCGTTCCAAATTTGACCTTAAGGCCTCCAAATGCATTTTTCTCGGTTATGCACAAACTCAAAAGGGTTATTGCTGGTATGAACCTACTTCCGGGAGGAGATTTGTCTCGATGGATGTTACTTTCTTTGAAGAGATACCCTATTACCCTAGGGTTTCTCCTCAGGGGGAGAGTAGTGAGAATGGGGTTTGTGAGAGTGGGGTTAACTCATTTGAAGTTCCTTTACCCATTCCATTGAGTGATGAGGGATGTAATGGAGAGGGTTGTTAGAGGTGTCAGGAATAAAGCCTTGTATGGACTAAAGCAATCCCCCAGAGCTTGGTTTGATAGATTCAGACAAGCCCTTGAAAAATTCGTCTATGTACAGGCCCAGTCAGACCATACATTGTTCATTAAAAGAGTGGACTCTTCTTTGACCTTGCTTGCTATATATGTGGATGATATTGTGGTGACAAGGAATGATAATAGTGAGATTGAGTCCCTCAAATAACTCCTTCATCAAGAGTTTGAGGTGAAAGATCTGGGTGAGCTAAGATACTTCTTGGGTATTGAGGTTGCTAGATCTAAACACGGGATCTTTATTTCTCAAAGGAAGTTTGTTCTAGATCTGTTAGCAGAAACTGGAAAGTTGGGTGTTAAGCCTGCAGATACACCCATTGAACAGAATTACAAGATCAGTGTAGAGGGTGGAGAGCCTCTTGAAGACAAAGCTATGTTCCAACGGCTGGTTGGAAAACTCCTATATCTTTGTCTCACACGACCAGACATCAGTTATGTAGTCAGCGTTGTCAGTCAATACATGAAGAATATTAGCTAGTTCTCTTAGAACTACTCACCTCCTTGCAGTTGAGAGAATATTAGCATACTTGAAGAGATGTCCAGGTAGAGGTATATTATTCAAGAATAATGATCACATGAAGACAGAAGTCTATACAAATGCTGATTGGGCAGGGAGTGCTGATGACAGGAGGTCTACCTCTGGATATTGTGCCTTTGTAGGAGGTAACCTTGTCTCTTGGAGGAGTAAGAAACAAAGTGTTGTTTCTCGCTCTAGTGCTGAAGCTGAATATAAATCGATGGCTAATGGTGTGGCTGAAATCATATGGCTGAAGTCATTACTTGAAGAGTTGGGTATTGATTATGAGAAGCCCTTAATGCTGTATTTGAGCTATATGCTCACAATTCGGTACAACATGATAGAACTAAGCATATCGAACTTGATCGACATTTTGTCAGAGAAAGGGTTTCATCTCAAGAAGTGTCTCTCGTATATCACCTCCAGCATGCTGCTCACAGATCTTCTCACCAAGGCTGTTCCAAGGAAGAAGTTAGAGGCAAACCTATGCAAGTTGGGAATGACAAATATCTATTCCCAACTTGAGGGGGAGTGTAGAGAACACTGATGTGGACCCCACGGCTGTGGTCCCCACTGTGTTCGTATGGCAGCACAACATGTATTCTTTGTTAGTTATGTCAATGTTAGTTGGTAGTTATTTCAGTTTTGTTGTTACAGCTTGTTATTTTAGCTTTATTATTAGTTTATTTGCCATGTAAGCATTAAGGGCAATTCAGCCTTTTTTTACAATTAGTAAACATATAAATATTAAGAGTGGGTCGGCAGATTGATTCTATTYGACCCTCTCTCTCCTTTTCTAAAACCCTTTGTGTGCTTCTGCTTTCTCCCTCTTTTCTTCTTCTTTTCTCCATCTGAAATCTTTCTTTTACTTTCGGATTCAAGACTGATTGTAGTCTTGATCGACTACTATTTGTAAAAATACCAGAATTTTCTTTGGTCCATCTGATTTTGTCCACCTCCATGGGATTCACCCTTCATGGCTTCACTGTAAAAATTTACTGTTAAAAGCAGTCTTGAGGAACTTTGTATATATTTATATATTGTATTATTTAACTGTAACTAGAGTTGGTTGGCTGACATTATTCTGGTTGCATGATTTGTTTACTGCCAATGCTTGAGATAATTATTGACCAATTTCCCTTAATTTGATTTAGTCATTGTTCTTTATTCTAATTAGGTACAATGTATTTCTACTTTGAACTTTTGATGCTTAATTATTTGACATGCCAAATACTTATGATGCAGTGTGTGGGTTGCAAGAAAACCACCGGGTTATGCATTTATTGATTTTGAAGATCGAAGAGATGCACAAGATGCAATTCATGAATTGGATGGTATGTGCATCCCAAGACAAAAAAAAGGAAAGGCTGAACTTGCTTTTCTAAATGAAACAGAACTATACCTTCATAATTTTGTTTGAGTACTAATTTATTGTAGTTTAGTTGCATTTTGATTTGATTTTATTCTCTCTCTCTCTCTCTCTCTCTCTCTCTCTCTCTCTCTCTCTTCTGGAATAGGTAAAAATGGGTGGAGAGTGGAGCTCTCTCATAACTCTAGAGGCCGTGGTGGTGGTGGCCGTGGTGGTGATCGTGGACGTTCTGGAGGTTATGACATGAAGTGCTATGAATGTGGTGAGCCTGGTCATTTTGCTCGAGAGTGTCGTCTACGTGTTGGTCCCGGGAGGCGCCGCAGCCGTAGTCCTAGATACCGGAGGAGTCCAAGCTATGGTAGAAGGTGAGACCATGGAGACTTTTTTCACAATTTAATCTATGAATGTCTTTTATTTTTTTTTGTGGCACTTTTTCATCTTAGGCTTTGTTTGGTAAGATGGGACCATGGGTGGTGGTTGGTTTTGTGATGGTTATTTCAAAATTTAAAGTGGGTCGGTGGTTGATTTTGTGTCCATTTTTGGGAACATGAAACCACAACTTGCTGTTGTTTGACAAATATTTATGTTCTGGAACTATACACCTCATGGTTCCAGGAAAGTATTTTGCTGATTCAAGCATAGCATCATGTGTGATGCAGTGTATATCTCATACACTGGATGATTGCGCATCTCCCTTGCTTTATGGTATTAGCAAGAATTTTTTTTGCATATATTTTATGATAATGCCGAAATAAACTCATGCAAACATGTCTGTTTGATCAAAGATCAATGACAATGATTGAGATCTACATCCCTGTTTGGCACACACACAACTATTATACATGTGTATGATTCAGAAAAATATATGCAAGTAGGATATAGAAAATTTGAATAGTTCAAAAGAATCACTTTTTGTTTTGAGAACCGTGGGACCCAAATTTTCAGCCCCACCACAGGTTTTTTCAACCACCAACCAAAAACCACCTAAGAGCTACAGAGATTGGCTGTGTTTTATTTATTATCATTTTATAATCCATGGCCGCTTCAATGTCTGACAGGAGTTACAGTCCACGAGGCCATTCACCCAGGCGCCGCAATGCATCACCACCTCGTGGCCGCAGTCGTAGCAGGTCACCACAGCCACAACGTAGACGTGAGGAATTGCCATATGTTAATGGGTAAGGCTCACACTGCTCACATTGAGATTTACATCCCCATTTGGCACAAACATAATTATTATACATATGTTTTTCTTTTTCCAAAAGTGAACCTTATATAGACACCCTCTTGCTGGTTGCATGGCTTAGAAGAATATAGACCTTGTTTGGGAGTGCTTATTGTAAAAATAATTGTTTATTCAGAGAAGCACTTACCAGTGTTTGGTGAAAAGTGCTTCTTTCAAACTAGGGTAGTAGAGGTATTTTAAAAATTATGCGGTGGGCCAAGTGGGTCAGAAAGCAATAAGTGCTTTCTTGGGTGCTTATTCAAAATGGGCCTATTTCCATGGATAAACACTTATTGGGGCTTATTTATCAAACACCAATAAGTTCTTGTTGGTGTAGACCCAGCCTCAAATAAGTGCTTATTCCAATAAGCACTCTCAAACTGGGGCATAAGCAAGTAGGATATAGAATTTCATGTTTCATGGCTACCACATTTTTTCAACCACAAACCCAAGTCACTTTTTTTTGGTGTTTGGTGATATGCTTAAATCCCCCATAGGGGTCGTTTCAATGGTGCAGTGCCACACTAATAACCCCCTCCCCAAAGTCGGCGTAGTGAGAATCAAATCCATGTCTCTGCTGGAACAAACCAGCTATTGTACTAACTGAACTACCCCTCAGTTGGCAACCAAAGCTACTTAAATGATATTGAGATTGGCTGCCTTTGTTTTGTTTATAATTATTTCATCATTGATTCAGCCATGATTGCTTCACCTTGTTACAGTCCACGAGGGCATTCACCCAGGCGCCGCACTGCATCACCACCCCGTGGTCCCAGCCGTAGCAGGTCACCACAGCCTCAAGGTGGACGTGAGGAATTACCATATGCTGCTAACAGGTAAAGCTCATATTGCTGACATTGAGATTAACATCATACCCTTCGACACAAACACAATTACTATACTGCATATGTTTTTCCCCCAAAAGTGAAACCTTGTATAGAAAAATATAAGTAGGATATAGAAAACTAGTGTAGTTCAAAAAGAAAAACATTTTTGCTGTGAGGACTGTGGGGCCAAATTTTCCGCCCTCCACAGGTACTTTCAACCATCAACCAAAATCCACCTAAGAGATATGGAGATTGCCTGTGTTTTATTTATTATTGTTTCATCACCCACGATTGCTTCAACTTCTGGCAGGGATTACAGTCCACGAGGGCGTTCACCCAGGCGCCACAGTGCATCACCATCTCATGGTCGTTCACCCAGGCGCCACAGTGCATCACCATCTCATGGTCATAGTCGTAGCAGGTCACCACAGCATCAACATGAACATGAGGAATCACAATATGTTAACGGGTAAAATCTCACATTACTTTGGCTTATTACGTAAAATTCGTATTTTTAAGCCAAACCTTCCAGCAATCCCCACCCACCTACAGCATATTGGTTCCAGGCAGTGGAGTTGGACCTACATTTTTTTGGTCCAAAGTCCCCAACTTGTAAGATGACTGATCATTTGATCTAGGAATTGTTCTTGCAGATGGTCCTTTCATCCCATCTAAACAAATTATTATGGATTTTTCTTTATTTTTTTCTAAATTATACAACTTTTTTTAGTTTACTTCTTATTTTAAAAGGCACAGCTTGGTTAACAAGTGGGTTCATACCTGCGGGGTATATCTTACCTGGCTTGTTTCTATATTTTGATTTTTTTATCCTTGAATTTGATGTTGAATAGGTAATTTAATAGTTACTACGTTATAGGTTGTAGATATGTTTTTAACAGTTTAGCCTATGTAGGATCTGTCCAAGATTTCAAGTTTGTATTAATTGTGTGATGCTCCAACAATTTGATCTAATTAGTCTTTTTAATTATTATGGTTTTTCTCAGCATTTAGACTTGCATATTCTTGTAGGACCAAATGCATTGCACTGATATTTAATAAACCTTTTAACACTAATTATTTGTGGTCATACTGGTGTGCAGAAATGGTGTCAAAGATCAATGTAGGAGCAGGAGCAGGAGCAGGAGCAGGAGTCAAAGCAGAAGTAGGAGGAGCAGGAGCTGATTTTTGTAAAGCCAACATAACTTCACTTTGACATGAGAGTTGACATGGACTGAGAATGTTGAGATGGTTACAATACTTTGACTTTCGCAACTATGTGTTAATTGGGTGAGGGCACTGAGCCTTGATTTCTCAGTTTTGGATAAGTTCCAGTTGCTGCATTTGAACTTTATCTTATTTGTGTATTGCTGCGCATATAGTTTCTATACTCACCAGGGTCATCCATAAAAATAAATAAGTAAATAATTGACTGAAATTCTATTTCTTTTGTGTTGAGGCCTGTTCTCTTCTTAGTGACTAGATAAAGAATCCATGTTGCTTTATCACATACCGGTTTTGTGGTTCTGCACCCGCCTCATTCTTCAGTTGAATGGTTCTAATCTTTCTACAAAGATGATTGAATTCCATTCGATATTCAATGGATCTTTAACATGATCTATCGAATTTGAATTTGGTGAAGTAATAACATGACTGAATTTGTTTCGAATGCGACAAATGGGGTTTCATCTATTATTGAATGGTTGAGAAAACAAAGAAGAAATGAATGGTGAAAATCAAATTCCAAACAAGAAACTTTAACAAGCTAATAAAATTAACCAGGTCTCACAAGCAGACGAGAGTAACTTTTGATGATAGGAAGAATTAAGTAATCTCACTTATTCCTACTAGTTGTCCTGGACGAGGTGTACCGTAGTAGCAATGGTCTAATCAGAGATGAAGCCCAGACGAAGTATCTTGAAAAAGAGTGAGGGTTTACAATGCCCAGTCCCGTACCCTTATTTCATGAAGTAATCTCACTTCTTATATTTGTCATACATAGGGTACAGAAAAGTTCTTTGCAGATTGGCTAAACACTGGTTTGGGGTATTATCTTTTCTATGTAAAACAGATGGGCTGGAGTTGAAGTAACAGCTTCTGAGACTCAACGGAGAGAGGAACTGCCAGGAAAGAGAACCACCATTTTGAAGAGCTGAGAACACTGTTTGGCTATCCATGCAGATCATAATGCCTTTCTAGATTTTAGAAACTGCTAGTTTTAATCTTGATATAATCCCATTAGCTCAGCCTCATCAGGTAACCCAAACCCTGTTTCTAAAGTTACAAATATCATTGATTGGATTTGGATTAAGAGTAGGAATGGCAAATATCATTATAGCCAAGAGTTGTGAGAAGAAGGGGGATTGTTCTTCTAAATAAGCCTTTTTAGAAAAAAAATGTCATTCCTTCTCTTAATCCAAATCCAATCAATGGTACTCTCAATAAATTTGGGTATGCATAATTTGTTGAAGCAAATGCAAGTCCATTGATTATCTTGAGTGAACCAAGTTCCGCAATGACTAGATTTTGGTGATCTTTGGAGACACTACGAAATGCTCGTGAAGCCCATGTGATTACTGATCCAAGGAACAGATGGATGGGAACCCTAGCTGAAACTTTAGCTAAAAAAGCAACTTCATTAAAATGATCTCGAATAAGAGGACCAACAACTTTCCAAAACAGGAGAACTAGTACTTTTAAATTTTAGTTCTATGGAGAAGCAAGCGTTGGTTTAGTAAGTACTTCGATGTTAGATCTCAAAGGGTTGCTCATAAATTTGTTTTTCAGTTCGTATTGGTAGCATGCATTATTACCTCTCTTTGAACATGTCATAATGTGTCAAATCTTTTAAATCAAATGGATTAACCCACGATATCATTATTAAATAATAAAATTATACTATTCTAATAGCTCTACATAGCTTCTAGACATTTTTTTTATAACTAAAATACCTCTCTTTGAACATTATTCCTTCTCTTATGGTAAGGTCAGAAATGGTAATTTAAACACTAATATTCAATTCATTCTATTCCCTCTCATAAATACCTTATTTAAGGTTTTAAACTCCTATTCTATCTCATTGAATCCTATGCTTAAGGTATCTTTATTAAATCCTATGTCACAAATAATTCTTATTTGTCACATTTATCTTATGTTTAAGGTATCTTTATTTCTCTTAGATTTGGGGTGTTTCATTTATCCTAGTAAATTTCAACAAAAAGAACATGGATAAATAAAGGCTCTCTTGTGAAACAGAAACATGTTTGGTAACAAAAATTACAAGAAACAAGCTATTCCCGAGTGAGAACAACAGCCAAAAAATGTGTTCTTTGAGAGTGATAAATCGATACTCCCAAAGAACACGTTCTTAGGGAACGCACGGTTCCCACAATGTCCTAAAGGATTTACGAACACATGCACAGTGCTCCCAGGTGAGAAAAGGGGTAATGTTGTCATTTTGCATGAAATTTATAACCTCCAACTCCAAGCCCTAGTTCAAAACTTCATTCGGTTGAGCTTCTACCACTGCAAACCCAGGGAGCCGTTAGTTGAGGCTACACAATTAGATGGCTGGTTTCTTGTGGCTGGTTTATTTCTAAGTAAAAATGTGTTAATTAGCGATCTGTTCAGTATTCCCAAACCATGTCTTTCTTCTCTATTTTTTTAGAAGAACGATGTTTATTTCTATGTAAAAATGTGTTTATGGGCGATCTTTTCAGTATTCCCGACCATGTCTTTCTTGTCTAATTTTTTTTAGAAGAGCCATGTTTATTGTTTGTGTTGCATTGATCAGTTATAGTGAAATAATTTTTCCCTTATCTAAGGGGAAGATAGGCTAAAACTAGGGGATTCCTTAAGAAATAGTTTTTATATCGTTTCTATTTCTGTTGAACGAAAATCCATTCTTGAAAAACAATTTGTCAAACACCTTTGTTATTCTTGAAGAGCAAGAAATAAAATTCTTATTCTAACACAGAAATTTCTAAAAGAACAGAAACAAGTGGAAACATTGCCAAACAGGGCCAAACTTACCCAAGTAAATTTTATTTGAGTAAACGATGATAAGTAAGATAATGGTAAATGAATGGGGTGTAGGGGATTTTGCAAAGAGTAGATGTTCTAGTCAATTTCTTACAACTTAGGGATAATTTAAAAATTTTTTCAAAAAATAATACAAATTTATTTATTATCTAACAATAATAACCCAAAAATAATGTTTAGGTTAGAATCAATTTGACTCACAATGGGCTCCGCTAATAATTATTTTAAATATAAGACTAAGCGCTGAAATCAGAGCTGACCCCGCCCTAGCTTATGTTTCAGGCCCAGAAGCTGGGCCGGGGCTTAGGCTATAACCCTTATTAGAGGTAGGCTGGCCGAATGCCGATGGTCACCCCTAGATTTAAGGGTGGGGGGAGAGAGCCTGAAGATTTGCGGCTCCACTGGAGTTGGAGGGATGGAGATGTCAGATGCCTCAACACAAATTCAACTATGGGTCATTTGGCGGAAATAATTTCAAAATTTTGCATTTTGTTTCGTTTTATTTTGCTTTCATGTTTTTTTTTTTTTTCTTCGAGCCCCAACACTTTCCTCTCCCCTTTCTCTCACTCCTCCACCCTCTACTCCCCCGCCGGTCACCATCAATTTCCACAACCGGCGATCCCTCCCTCACCCTCTCGGTAGTCCCTGTTCTATTCGTCTTCTCTCGCCACGAACGCGCCGCTGCAAATCTGGCCACCTCCCACGCCCGGCGACAACACCACAAAACCAGGTAAGTTATAGAAATATACAACTTGGTTAATAGTTAAACGTTTCTACAACTCTGTTATTAGTCAAATATATCTGCATTTGGTTTGTAGACTTCGATACCTATTGTATATTATCTGATCGAGTTAGGTATTCTCCCGGTCTGCATCAATTGCACCAACTGATCCGAGTCTGAATTGTAGGCTTAAGTGGTTCTATTCAATCATCGAGTTTTCCTATCATGGCCAATGATTTGGAATTCCAATCCCATTGAGAAAAAGCTCTTCCTTCAACTCCCCTTGTTGATGGCTTGAAATTGAAACTGCAAGCTTTGGAATGCAGATTAAGGTATTATTGCTTGGAAAGTTATGATGGAGATTAATGCAAGTGTTATTGCTTTGAAAACCATAATTGGGATTTGCAACTGAACAACAGATTATGGTATTTAGTGGTTAAAAGCAAATGTGGCCTTCGCCAAAAATTCTAGAATTTAGGATAGAGAATTTCTTGTTTTTCCTTCGTAACTCGTCAGTTCTTCCATTTTAACTTTTCTAATTACATTTTATATGACGTTGGCTCCTGTAATAAAGCTAGATATATGGATGGGTGAAGTTTCCCTCTGCTAGAAATTGTGACTTCATCTAGTTTTCCTTTGTAATTTCGTATTTCAAATCTGGAACTACTAAATCTGCTTCATTTAGTATTCAACTTTCTGCTCATAAGGAAGTAGAAGACATCCCATACGGGGAGAACGGGGGAGGGGGCGCCAGTGGTAGAAGTTGATGGTGGGCGAGTAGAGGGTGGAATGGGGGAGAAAGGGGCAAGGAAGAGGGTTAGGGCTTGAGGAGAATAAATGAAAATAAAAACAAAACAAATGAACATTTTGAATCCACTCCTGTCAGTCTCCGTTAGGGGTATTGCTATTGCACGTGGGTGTTCAGCTAATCCCAAGTCCCAACTTATAGTTCAACAAATGAAGTACAGAAGGTCTTGGTGCCTCAAGAAAAAGTTTCTTTTTAAATTATGGTGCTCCCATGTGCTATATAGTACATAAGAGAGAATGGATATGGTCAGTCTTCCTCCTTACTGTACTATTCCCCAATACATTGAATTCCTTGTTACCTCCTGCTTTGACAGCCCATCAGAAAAACAATTAGCAGACCTTGGTGTCCATTGAATGACTGCTCTCAATTCCTTCAATTTCTCTTTTGCTTCTCTGATTTCATATCCGTGCTCCCATGGCCCCTCTTCATTAGTTCCCAACCAGCCTATTATGTCCTTGGAGTCCCCTTCTACTATTAGCTTGTTATATCCCATTTCTTTTGCCTTTTCTAAACCTGTTAACAACTTTCAATTCTGCTCTGGTCGAACCCCCACATCTATAGCTCCAAAGTGCATGATCAAACATCACAGAAAGGATTTCTTACCACATCTCATATCCCGATGGGCCTGGGTTGCGTAAGCTGCACCCATCAAAGTTCAGTTTGAAAAAATGGAAACAGTGGTGCTTGCTACTCTGCTTGTATTCTTGATCTTTTTGGAGCAGAATCAGCAACTTCCCTTTAACTTCTTATAACACACTCGGTCTTAAATGGGGCAATCATCTCCTCAGTCCTAAATCAATGTGCCAATTTGATGGATATGTTGTCAATGCTTATCCTTAGACCATTTTTTATCATTAAAAATGTGATTGTTCGTCTCTTCCCACAGACACCATAAAGTAGCAGCCTTTGCACACCTTCACAACATCTTGCCTCCTTCGTTGAAGGAGTAAAGGATTCATCAAACAATTGTTTCAGGTCATCTGGCGGCCTTCACCTGCACCCAAACAACAACAAAAAGTTAACCCAGATAGCAATCATAAAATTGGAGATTTAGCAGATGAAAAGAATTTTCACCATTAGCTTTGCACATTGGGCATAAATGAGGAGATAAACACTAGGATTGTATTTCCCATTGCAAGTTTTCCATAGTATTAATTTTATTGTGATAGACCTCCCAACAAAAAAGATTGATTTCTAGGCGGTAGTGGTCCTCTCCAAATGACTCTAACTAGGCAGCAAAGAAACTTGAAACTGTGTCGCTGATGACAATCTCTGGTAAGAATCCTAATTCTCTCTCTTTTCTTTTTCTCTTATCTTTTAGTCCTCTCATCATTCCTATCTTGATCTCCCCTGTCCTACTTCTGTCTGCTTTTTCCACTCTTTAACACCATAATTGACCCTTCTTCCTCGCTTCAACATTAGTTTTGCCAACTCCTTTTTCCTTCGAGTTGATCCCTACAAGAAAAGAGAGGTTCATCACTTCACAGGGAAAAGGAATAGAAGCATGAGATAAATAGTGCAAGAATCCAGAACTTTAGTCACATCTTCAACTTGTACCATTGAATCTAGTTGTAGTTTTTTGGTCTTTTCTTCTAATTCAAATTCAATCTTATCTCACTCTATCTTGTTAGTGCTTAGTTGATTTTATCACCTTGAACTCACATTTGGAGGTTTAGTTGCTTCTGTTTCTTCATATATTTTTTGGTAGTAAATAAAAAAAAAATTATAAATTATAAAAATGGAATACAAACAAGTAGGTCTTATTCTTCATGACTGCCAATTCAAGTATCATGGCTATATCCCAGAACAATGGGGGAAGCATGCAATACTTGTTCACCCCTTGAGGTTCTATGAAGTATAAGAGATAGATTTACTATTGTTTTTTTTTTTTTTCTCAAGTTTTTGTTATTTCTTTTGGGTCCATGTTACTTTAGGGAGATCAACCATGGAAGCTATCTTTCTTTTGAGAAAATTGATAGAAAAGTTTAGAGAGAAGAAAGGAGATGTGTATATGGTGTTCATTGGTCTAGAAAAAAATACAATAGAGTCTTTGAGAGATAATATGGTGGGTCTTGGAAAAGAAAGAGGTTGAATTAGTCTATTGGATGAAAGCCATGTAATTGAAAAATTAGTGGATTTGGAAAAGGTTGTAAATGTAGAAGTTGAAGTTTGCAAATCAATGGGCCTGTTTGTCCTAGGTGATAATAATTATGCGGCTGTTTGGAAAGTCTTTTTGGGAAGATCTTCTGGTAGCTTTGACATTCAAAAGACGCATTGAGCTTTTGCATGAAGATTTGAGCAGCCCGAAGCTAGTTTTGGCTACCATGCGTCTTTCCTTGTCTTTCTGTGTGAGAATAAAGCGAGAAAGATGCGAAAAGCTCCATCTGGAGCTTCCCGAAATCAGCCCAAAATGGGCTTCTCGCGTCTTTTCGGCACACTGACTTTTGGCGGTTAGATCTCTTATGAACCAAACGGAAAAAAGACCGTGGTGCGGTCTGCCCCGACTTGTAAACAACCGAAAGACTGCGTGTAAAGATGTGCCAAATGGGATATATTCAATAAGTTGGAAGCCAAATATCATATGCTTATCATTAATAAGCCCAATGTTAGGTTCCCTATTTTAGAAGGTGGACCGCTGAATAATATACCGTTTTGCTCCATCTTACCATTAAATTTGGGATTTTCAATTTTTTTTTTGAATTTTATCAAAACGATTGAGACAAAGGGAGACTTATCCTATGCAGAAGCATTAAAAAGGGAGGGCAATTGTTGAACTGAGAATGAATTGTTGAGCTGACTCGATTTCTAGGAACCCACCACATGACGACTTAAGAGGCATGTGCAGGAGCAAGTGTGAGGTGAGGGGGGACAATAAAATTGATCTATTATTATCCCCATCAACTTTGACAGTTGAACATGGGCAAATTCTTCCCAGATGCAATGGGTGAGGCGAGACAGGCCTAACCCTTGCTATGCCGGGGCCAAGGCTGAATGGAGAGAAGATGAAGAAGATGAGCAATGGGTCGATTGTGAAGACACGGTTCAAGTTTGTTTGGATAGTGACAATGACCTTCACCTAGTTTCTCTCTTTAAGGGAAGAAAGATCGATGATAACAAGAAGGGTGTACAAAGCAAGAAGCAATTTCACACCAATAAAGGAAGAAGTAGGGAAGTGTGGCGAATTTCAGGTAGTGGCCTAAAGAATCAATTTCAATGTTAGGAGGTAAACAAAGGTATCCAAGGGATAAGGACAAGAGTCCATGCGAATGACAAGGACAAGATGACTAGTTGATGATTTGGCAAGGGAACCAAGAAACTGCAAAGGATAATTTGGCAGGGAGATCAACACTTGAGTTGGCTAAGTCTAGTGCAAGTTTGAAGCCCTCCCAACTCCCAAGTGAATAGTATTGATGCTAGGGGTGTGGAGAGTCACTAAAAGAAACAGAGATTCAAAGGAGCTGCTACTCTATCTCCTATTGTGTCTTCCTCTCAATCAAATACTGGTAACCTCTGTAACATTGTTGGTTTAGCTTTTGATACTAATCTGTAATCTCTACCTTTCTAGTTCTACAGATTTTTTCAGATCCCATCCATGGCTCCAATGTGCATTTCGTAGTGCCTATAGAAAGAGAGTTTGCGAGGGGCTTTGGAAGAGGAGTTGGTGGAAAAGAAATAGTTGGGGACAGGGAAGGAGGGTTGCTCGATTTTGGGGCTAGGGAGGAAAGGTTGAAGAAAACTAAAGACCTTGTTGTACTTGTACCTAGTAAGGGGTTGGGTATGTATGGGGAAAAAGGGATTTCAAAAGGAAATCAGACCTAGGAGAGACTAGAAGGTGAGGAGTCGGGGAAGGAAGAAAAGGATGGAGTTGGAAAGAATATAAGAAGTGAAGAAGCTTAGAATGCAAATGACCCGATGATGGATCTGGTTGACAAAATGGGCTCGAAGATGGAAAAAGTTAAGGAAGTGAAACCTCAAAGCAAAGAAATCAAAGGAAAGGGAGGTAAAAAGGAGAAGGAAGTTAAATGAAGTTGAGAAACATATTAATGATGTGGAAGGGGATAAGGAGATTAGTGCTAGAGGAGGAAGAAGGAAGGGAGGCCTATAGGATAGGTGGGGGTTGGGTTCAGTCTTTGTGATCATGAAGATTATTAGTTGGAATGTAAAGGGGTTAGGGGAGTGCCACAAAAAGAAGAGCAATTAAAGAGGTGATGAGGAAGGAAAGATTGGACTTTGTCTTGATCCAGACATCTAAAATTCAAGATGTAGATAAGAATTATTTGGCCAGAGAGGAATATTAATTGGAGCTTTAATCCACCATAGGGCGCATCAAGGAGCATAATAACAATTTGGAAGGAAGAGGTAGTTCAATGTTTGGAAGAGTTGGTGGGCAAATTCTCAATGGACCTTGGTGCTCAGGAGGAGACTTCAGTGTTGTCAAATTTGTGGGTGAGTCAAATGGGGGTAGACAAAGGATTACATCAAGCATGAGAAAGTTCAATACTTTCATTGAGGCCTTTGAGTTAA